CTGGTGGACAGTGACCCTGGGACACCCTGAAACACCGGGAGTGAACCCCCCAAGCCGTGACACTGAGGGAGCACCGGGGCACATTCCATGTCGTGACACCGGGGGAGCACAGCTACCCAGGCAGTGACACTGGGTGCACGCCACGGCGCCTGGTGACAGCGCTGTGACACCGAGCACCCCCCACCATGGCACCAGGGGAGCAGCCAGATCATCAGGTGCTGTGACACCGGGGGACTCTGTGCCTCGCATGTGCTGTGACACTGGGTGGCCAAACCACCCTGTGCTGTGACTCCTGGGCGAGCCTTGAGCCTGGCATGTGCTGTGACACTGGCAAACCAAAGCCAACCTGGACTGTGACAAGTGATCAACCAGCGTGGCACCTGCCACTAGGTGACCAAAGCCACCTTGGACTGTGACACCAAGTGACCAAGCCTCTGCACCATGACACCTGCTGAACCCTCAGCCTGCCGCCTGCTGTGACACCGTATGACTGAAAGCCACCCTGTGCAGTGCCACTGGGTGACCAAGCCACCCCACATCGTGACACCATGTGACTGAAGCCCCCTTCCACTCTGCATTGTCCTCATCATGCCACCATCCCGTCAGCGTGTGGCCATGCCTGTCTCCATGGTGCCACCGTCCCTGCTGCTGGCTCTGTCCCTGCTGTCCCCTGTGCTATGGGGGTCTGCAGCAGGGAGCTGCCCCCCGCGCTGCGTCTGCGCCTCCAACCTGCTGAGCTGCTCGCAGGCCAACCTGAGCACGGTGCCGACGCCGCTGCCGCGCTTCACGGCCGTGCTGGACCTGAGCCACAACAACGTGACGCGGCTGCGCGCGGACTGGGCCCCGGCGCGGCTGCCGCACCTGCACGCGCTGCTGCTGAGCCACAACGGGCTGGCCTTCGTGTCCACCGAGGCCTTCGCCCACGTGCCGCGCCTGCGCCACCTCGACCTGTCCTCCAACCGCCTGCGCGCGCTGGACGAGAACCTGTTCAGCGACCTGGGCGAGCTGGAGGTGCTGCTGCTCTACAACAACGAGATCTCCACGGTGGATCGCACGGCCTTCGAGAACCTGGGCCGGCTGCGCAAGCTCTACCTGGGGCAGAACCGCATCGCCCGCTTCCCGCTGGAGCTGCTGCGGGAGGGCACCCGGCTGCCGCAGCTGGCGCTGCTGGACCTGTCGGCCAACCGGCTGCGGGCCGTGCCCGCGGGGGAGCTGCAGGCGTTGCCCGCCTGGCTGCGCGACCGCCTCTACCTGCACAACAACCCCCTGGCCTGCGACTGCCCGCTCTTCCAGCTGCTGGACCGCGGCCGCCGCCGCCACCTCAGCGCCGTGGAGGATTTCCAGGATGAGCTGCGCTGCGTCCCGCCCGGAGCCACGGCTCTCGTCAAGATCCTGGAGCTGGCGGGCAAGCCGCCTCTCAACTGCAGCAAGGCGCGGGAGGCCGTGCTGGAGGCGCACCTCGGGGACAGCGTGACGCTGGGCTGCGACAGCCGCTGGCAGGGCGTGCGCAGCCGGCACTGGGTGACACCGGGCGGGGAGCGGGTGCTGGGGGACGGGGGCAACGGCAGCGTGGTCCTGCTGGCCAACGGCAGCCTGCAGCTGCGGGCGCTGCGCCCCGAGGATGGCGGCACTTACTCCTGCTGGGTGGCCGGGCCCCTCCTCAACGAGACCCTCTACGTGGAGCTGCTGGTGCACAACTTCACCCTGCACGGCCCCCACGACACGCTGAACACGGCCTACACCACGCTGGTGGGCTGCATCCTGAGCGTGGTGCTGGTGCTCATCTACCTGTACCTCACCCCGTGCCGCTGCTGCTGCTGCCGCGGCACCGAGAAGCCGCCGGCGCCGCGCGACGACAGCATCAACTCCTCGGTGCTGAGCACCACCCCCAACCACGCCGGGGGCACCGGGGAGCCCTGCGGGTCCCACGCGGCCGCCGGTGCTGGCACGGGGCAGAACGGCCGGTTCAAGGGCGGGGGGACCCCCCCGGTGCCCGCCCGGCAGGGCCCCAAGGCGCAGAGGAAGGTGTCGGACCCAGACTCGGTGAGTTCCGTCTTCTCCGACACGCCCATCGTGGTGTGAGGGGACACTGTGGGGACAGTCCCCAGGGACACCCCGTGTCAGCCACTGCAAGCTGTCCCTGGGCAGGAGGGGTGGCCAGACCCCCAGTGCCGTGTCCCCAGCTTGGGGGGTCACGCCGTCACACCCCAGGACTGAGCATCGCTGCTGGCCCTGCCGAGGCCACTGACACCATGGGACAGTGAGGGACAAAGATGGGACACACACTTTGGGGACAGTCTCCCACCGTGACCTGACTCTGGGCGGGAGAGTTGGCCAGACCCCCACCACCATGGCCCCAGCATTTGGGGGTCCCATCATCACCCCCAGGACTGAGCATTGTCCCACACCCCCACTGGGACCACAGAGGGACCGTGAGGGACACACAGGTGTGAGGAGACACACCATGGGGACAGTCCACCAGGACACCCCTACAGTGTTCCTACTGTCCACCAGGACACCCCTACAGTGTTCCTACTGCTGCTGTCACCTGTTCCCCATGGACATGCCATGGGCAGAAGGGGTGGCTGCACCCCTGCTGTCATGTCCCCAACTTGGGGGGCAACACCATTGCCCCCCAGAACAGAGCATCACTGCTGGCCCCCACCGAGGTCACTGTGCCACAAGGGACAAGGATGTGACACCATGGGGCAGTCCCCCACTGTCACCTGTCACCGGGCAGGAAGGGTGGCCAGACCCCCACCACCGTGTCCCAGCTTTTGGGGGTTCCACCATCACCCCCAGGACTGAGCATCATCCCTGGCCCCTGCCGAGATCCCTGAGGGACTGCGAGGGACAAGGGTGTGAGGGGACACTGTGAGGAGTCCCCAGGGACAGCCCGTGTCCCCAGTGCCACTGCCAGCTGTCCTCAGGCAGGAGGGGTGGCTGGACCCCCATCACCGTGTCCCCAGTTTTTGGGGACTCCACCACCACCCCCAGGACTGAGCATCATCCCTGGCCCCTGCCAAGGGGGACTGCAGTGGACAAGGGTGTGAGGGGACACACCAAGGGGACAATCTGCTGCTGTGACCTGTCCCTGTGCAGGAGGGATGACCAGACTCCCACCACCATGTCCCTCGTTTTTGGGGGTCCCGCCATTGCCCCTCAGGACTGAGCATCGCTGCTGGCCCCGCCGAGGTTACCACAGGGACACGTCTGTGAGGACAGCGTGGCCACCAACTGCAGGGCATCAGCCCCACCAGGCTCTGCAGGACTGAGGGACAGTGACAGTGACAGCTGTGAGCCCCCAGGAGCGGCAGCACCGGGCAGAACCCCCCTCCTGCAGCCCCCCCATTCCCCCCGCCCCCCTTGGCATGTGCATGGCCAAGCATGAGTCCCCCGGGGAGCATGTGCCACCCCCATGGGGATACCGGGGCTGTGTCAACCCCCTGGGGAACCCCAACACCTCCTGACCCCCCTGCAACCCACAGCTGCAAGCAGAGCCCCCTCCCCTGCAGGGGTGGGACCCGGGGGCTCCTGCACCCCAAAAAGGGGGTGCCCCCTCCCATGGGTGTCCCCATGCCATCCCAGCCTGTGTCCCCCGTGCCCCCACCCCGGATGTTCCCCCCTGCCCTGGGCAATGCCCAGCGATGCCTTGGCCAAAATAAACGTGTTTCCCTCGTGCTGTGCAACCTTCACCCTTCTGGGGGGCTCCCAGGGGTGTCCCCTTGCTGGGATGAGGGTGGGTTGGGGACAGGGTGACACTGCTGGGGGACCCCCTCGGGGTGGGGGGCCCTGCTGCCCTGCCCACCCCATCTGGGGTGCAGGGGGGTGAAGTAGGGGGGGCAGGGGGAGGCACTCCAGTCACCCCAGTGTGCCCATCCCAGTGTGACCCCAACCCCGACACGCTGTGCTGGGATGAGGCTCTGAGCACCCCCCTGTGGCAGCCCCCAGCACCCCAATGACCCCACTGACACCCCTAGCACCTCAATGACCCTTAGGGTCCCCCGCCTGTCCCCCCAGCACCCCAAAGACCCACTGTGGCCAGCCCCTGCTCACCCCCAGCACTTTAATGATCCCTATGGTCCCCCACCTGTCCCCCCAGCACCCCAAAACCCCCCTATGGTCCTCAGTACCTCCCCTGTACCCCCCCCCCCCCCAGCACCCTGATGACCCCACTGCACCCTAATGACTCCACGGTCCCCAGGACCCCCCTCTGTACTGAGAAATTCATTGATCTCCCCAGCCCCTTAATGTCCCCACTGCCCCCCAAGTCCCCAAACACCCTTTATGGTCCCTTGTACCCTCCTAGCACCCCAATGAACCCCACTTGTCCCTGGAGCACCCCAAAAACCTCCTGTGGTCCCCAGCATGCCCCCATCCATCCACTGAGCCTACTCAGCACCCCAGTGACCCCATTTACCACCACCCAGCACCCCAGAGAACTCCCAGAACCTCAATGACCCCATTGACCATCTCCCAGCCCCTCAGAGACCCTTAGGAGCAGGGTCAGCAGCACCCCGAAGATCCCCTATAGTCCCCAGAAAGTCCCCCAGCATCCCAAAGACCCTTATGGGGCCCTGCCCACCCTGCAGCACCCCGAAGACCCCTTGTAGTCCCCAGAAAGCCCAATGACACCCTGAGCCTCCCAGAGACCCCTATGAACCCCTGCCCAGCCCCACAGCCCCCCGAGCATTCCAATGACCCCCTCAGCCTCACAGAGACTTTTATGAACCCCTGCCCAGCCCCACAGCCCTCCCAGCACCCCAAAGACCCCCTTTGCTCCTCCACAGCCCCCACAACGAGCCCCCCAGGACCCCACTGCCTCCCCAACACTCCGAACAACTCCAGTGACCCCTTCCAGCTCCCCAATGACACTCCCCCAGCCCCCCAATAATTCTATCCCCCTGCCCCACTGAGCCCCCCACCCCCAAACCCACAGAACCTCCTTTCCCCCATCCCCCACCACACAACTCTTTTTTTTTTTTTTCCTCATTGTTTGTTTTTTTTTACAAAAAGAACAAAAACAGCAACAACCGTTTCTTATAAATATCCGCGGCCGACGGGGCCCCGGGAGGTCCGGGGGGGTCCCCAGTGCCGCCCCCCCCTCCCGGGGCTGGTTTAGCAGCAAGAGAACAGAACTGAGAGTTTTGAGGTATTTTCTGGAAGTTTGGGATTTTTTCCTTCGTGTTTCCTTGGGATTTTTTTCTTTTTTCCCCCTTCATCGGTTTTCTGGCGTTTCCAGGTGGGGAGGACACAGGGGGGGCCCCCGGTGACCCCTCTGTTAATGGGCTTTGGACTGCAGGGGGGACAGGGGACGAGTCAGAGGGGACAGGGGACCCACGGGGACTCTCCACAGGCTTAGGGGAGCCCCACGGTGTCCCCAGGGGTGGGGAGGTCGTCAGGGTGTCCCCACAGCACAGAGTGCCCCCACTGCACAGGATGTCCCCTCACAGCACAGGGTGTCCCCCTACAGGACAGGGTGATCCCAGAGCACAGGGTGTCCCCCCACAGCCGCACAGGACAGGGTGTCCCTACAGGACACTGTCCCCCACAGCCCCACATCACAGGGTGTCCCCCCAGGACAATGTGGCCCCACAGGACAGGGTGTCCCCCTCACAGGACAGGGTGTCCCCCTCACAGGACAGGATGTCCCCCCCCACAGGACAGGATGTCCCCCTCACAGCCCAGCATGTCCCGGTGCTTTTCCCCCGCCGTCCCACAGTGTCTCCCCGCCACAGGCCATCCCTCAGGGCACAGTGACCCCAATCCCAGTGTCCCCAATCCCTGCAGGTCCCTCAGGGAGGTCCCCTTGGCTCTCCACCCCCCAGCCCTACCTTCAGGGCGCTCCTCTTCTCCTCGAACCCGAGGGGCGTCCCCGGCTTCTTCCTGCGGACAGAGCCCCCCGAGCCGGAGCTGCCGGGGCCGGGCGGGCCCGGGGGCCCGGGCAGGCCGGGCGCGGCCTTGCCCTTCAGGGCCCGGCAGTAGGTGGCCGCGTTCTTGCGCTTCTTCACCTCATCCTCGGAGAGCCCCCGGGGCGGCGCCCCCAGCCCCAGCCCGGGCGGCAGCGGCGGCGTTTGGGGGTCGCGGGCGGCGGGGGGGGCCCGGCAGGGCTGGCCGGGGGGCGGCCGCCGCACCCGCGGGGTCCCGTTGAGGATGGCGATGGAGGGCGAAGCCGGCGGGGTGAGTTTCGTCTTGCCGGGGGGGGCTAAGCCCTGATTTTTGCCCTTGACGCTGTCCCCCAAACAGGTCCGTTTGTAGGGCGGGCTGCCGGCCCTGGGCGGGGGCTGCCAGGGCCGGGGCTCCGCGTCCCGTGCCCGGGGGGATCTGCTGGCCTTGCCGGGGGGCAGCTTGCTGAAGGAGGGCGAGGGGGTGTTGGCGGGGAGCGGGGAGGTGATGGACTGCGAGCCCCCTCCGCCGCACTCGGGCTGGCTGCAGGCGGCCGCCGCCGGCGGGGACCCCACGGTGTAGGTGAGGCTGGTGGGGAGCCGGCAGCCCCCGGCCGCAGACAGGCTCCGGAGCGGCGGGGAAGGGGCTGCGGGGCCGTAAAGGGGCGCAGCGGGGCTGGGGGGGGCTGCGGGGAGGTGAAGAGGGGGAACGACGGCTGGAGGGATCTTCCTGTGGGAAGGGAGGGGGCGGGTGAGATGAACCCCCAAACCTCCTGCTCCCAACCGCATCCCCCCAATTCAGGAGAGAGAGGTGAGATGGGACCTCTCCAAATCCCCATTCCCATTCCTCCAGCCCTACACTGTGCTCCCCAGTTCAGGTGTGGAAAGGTGAGATGGGAGCCCCCACAAATCCCCATTCCAGACCTCTCCAAATCCCCATTCCCATCCCTGCAGTCCCACCCTGTGCTCCCCAGTTCAGGTGTGGAAAGGTGAGATGGGAACCCCCACAAATCCACACTCCCAGCCCTGCATCTCCACCTTGTCCCCCCGAGCTTGGATGAGAAGGAGTGAAACAGGACATCTCCTCAAATCTCCATTACACCCCAATTCTGGTGAGGAGAGGGTGAACAGAACCCCCCTACCCCAATCTCTGCTCTCAGTCCTGCATCCTCATCTTGTCCTTCCCAATCTGGGTGAGGAGGTGATGAAATGGGACCACTGAAATCCCCACTCCCATCTCTGTCCCCCAAATCCTTCCTAATTCAGGTAGGGAGGGGGTCCCAAATCCCTGCTCCCATCCCTCCATCCCCACCTTATCCTCCTCAGTATGGATCAGAATGGGATGAAATGAGACCCCCTCATTTCCCCTCACATCCCTGCACCCCCACCTGACCCTGCACACTTTGAATGAGGGGGGGGTACAACAAGACCCCCCAAATCCCCACTCCCTTCCTCCCCCTCAGTCTAAACAGCATGCTGGGAGCCCGGGGACCCCAAAGTCCAGGCCTGGTCCCCTGGGCCCCCCTCACCTCCACCTGTGTGCGCTGAGGTGCTGCTCCAGCATGGAGCCCAGCGCGGCGCAGAACCGGTCCAGCCGCCGGTCGAACACGTAACA